TGGAATCAAACGCAGGTCCTCTCGCTTGCGAGGCGAATGCTCTGACTACTGAGCTACAGGACCTCACCCTACACAGCATGCTGTGGAACTTAACCTTTCACCAATCTGAAGTGGATCCACACTTTAAACAGCTCACACTGGAACCAGATCAAGCAGAACCTGCACTGGATCCACATCTTACACAACATCAGCGGGACCAGACTTGATAAACCAGACCTTATTAAATCCATGAAGGCGTCTGCTGAATGCACTGGTTCAATCTTCCCTCTCGATGCATATTCTCCTTGCCTCCTTTCCCAGGATGAATGATCAACACCATGATAATGCCTATGATCACACAGCGATGACAGTGGTTGTTGTGTAGTATATCACTGCACGGAACCCCATCTTCCCTGAGGTCTTGCTGTCCAAGGCAGCCATTCCTGTCCAATTCAAACATACTGTTTATTATCTGGACAAACCCTGGCAAGACACGATTGAACATAAGTGGCCCACTCAAAGTAAAACAATAATCCTACATTCCCCACCTCTCACAAACCTCATGCAGTTATTTTTCCCAAATAGCTATTAGTCCCAAACACAAACCTTTGTCTCTAAGTTGGATGTCAAGCACCGTGGCTTTTTTTTAACGGGTCAGCTAGGTGGCTGACACATTAAAAAACCCATGCTAAACTAATAATAATAATAATAATAATAATCCTTGCATTTGATATAGCGCTTTTCACATCAGGAGGACGTCCCAAAGCGCTTCACAGAACACACTGTAAAGTGAATTGACTGTATATTTGTGGGCGAACGCGGCAGCCAATTGCGCACAGCAATGTCCCACAAACAGTCATAGATTGAAAATGACCAATTTAATTATTGTTTTTAGTTTTGGAGGGATTATTATTAGGCGTGTGGAGTAAGGAAACTTGCCCAAGGTTTCGCCCTCTGCCTGGAATTGAACTCAGGACTCTCACTTGCAAAGCGAGTGCTCTAACCACTGAGCTACAGGACTCCACGAGACAGTAAACTAGACAGTATTCCACAGATGTATGCCATCTACACTTAGAAATTTCCCCACAATTTTCCCCAAATGTTTCTATTGGTCCTAGCTATGAGCAATGATTAGATAAGATAGAGCTCCAGTCTTGAGAGAAGATGATTCAGAGGGGACCTCATAGATGTGCATAACATGTTAAAGAACATTTAAATAGTAACCCCAGAATAATACTTTAGGATGCACCAAGGCAGCAGAACAAGAGGACATAGGTTTAGAGTTGTAAAGTGTAAGTTCAGGATAGATGCCAGGAAGTTTTTCTTTACTCAGATGGTAATTATTAATAATGATAATAATCTTTACATTTGGAAGACAGATTTCACATAGGAGGATGTGTCAAAGCATTTCACAAGAGCAAGTGGAGTAACCAATTTTATTTGGGGGCAATTGGCCAGGACACCGGGAGAAACTCCTTTCTCTTTTCAAATAGTGCATGGGATCACCCTGAGCAGAGCAGAGAGCCAGCAGTGTGAGGCAGAAACTGAGTGACGTGGAACAGAGTGGGAATTCTGTTAAGGAATTTGGTGAGAGTGGGAATTCCGGTGCAGAGGGGAAAGAGGTGCATAATTATAAATATATAATAGTTATTTGATCGATATAAATGACCTGGGCTGGGGTATAGGGAGTAAAATTTCAAGTTTGCAGATGATACTAATAGGAAAATAGTAAACAGTGAGGAGGATGTAACAGACTATAATGGGATAACAGACTGGTAACATGGGCGACACGGGCAGATGAGGTTTAATGTGGAGAAATGCAAAGTGATGGAGTTTTTGAGGAAGAATGAGGAGAGGCCATATAAGCTGATGGTACAATCTTAAAGGGGGTGAAGGGACAGAGGACCTGGGGGTCATATAGTAAATCTCTGAAGGTGACCGGACAGGGAGATACAGCTGTTAATAAAGCATCCGGACACGAGGCTTTATAAATAGGGCATAGAATACACAAGTCAGGAAGTCACGATGAACCTTTATATAAATCACTGGTGGGGCCTCAGCGAGAGACTGGGCTCAGTTCTGGGCCCCACACTTTAGGAAGGATGTCAAGGCATTGGAGAGGGAGCGAAGGAGATTGACCAGAATGGTACCAGGAATGAGGGACTTCAGTGATCAGGAGAGGTAGAGAAGTGAGGATTATTCTCCGGGGAACAGAGAGGTTAAGAGGAAAATTAATAGAAGTTTTCAAATGATGAGGGGATTCGATAGAGTGAACAGGAGAGACTATTCCCACTGGCGGTGGGTCGGGAACCCGAGGGCACCGGTTTAAAATGGTTATTAAAAGAAACAGAGGGAGGGGAGGAGAAATGTTTTCACACAGTGATTTGTTGGGATCTGCAATGCATTGCCTGAAGGCTGAGGGAAGACAATTCCATAACAACTTTTAACAAAGAAATAGATAATTATTTGTGGAGGACAAGTTTGCAGGTCTATGGCGAGAGAGCGGGGGAGTGGGGTTGATCGGGGCTATGGGGAGAGGCAGACAGGGAGTGGGGGTTGATTGGGGCTGTGGGGAGAGAGGGGGAGTGGGGTTGATCAGGGCTATGGGAGAGAGGGGGAGTGGGGTTGATCAGGGCTATGGGGAGAGAGGGGGGGGGTTGATCAGGGTTGGGGAGAGAGGGGAGTGGGGTTGATTGGGGCTGTGGGGATAGCGCGGGGGAGAGGGGTTGATTTGGAAGCTCTTTTCAAAGAGCCGACACAGACACGATGGGCTGAATGGCTCCTTCTGTGCTGTGTAATTCTATGATTCTGTGAACACGCGACGGAACCTCGATTTAATTTCTCTCCCAAAGGCGGCACTTCTGACCGGCAGCACACCCCAGCATTGCATTGGAGTGTCAGTCTAACTATTATGAGTTCCAAACCGCAACATGGAGCTGGAACCAACAACTTGTGACTCAGATAATAATAATAATAATAATCCTTGCATTTGACATAGAGCTTTTCACATCTTCTCGACGTCTCAAAGCGCTTCACAGAATATGCTGTAAAGTGAAATGACTATAGTTGTGGGCGAACATAGCAGCCAATTGCGCACAGCAGATCCCACAAACAGTCATGGATTGAAAATGACCAATTTATTATTGTTTTTTTTACATAAGAACATAAGAAAAAGGAGCAGGAGTAGGCCATTCAGCCCCTCGAGCCTGTGCCCCACCATTTGATAAGATCATGGCTGATCTTCTAGCCTAATTCCATTTCCCCGCCCTATCACCCATTTTATCCCTTAATCCCTTTAGATTTAAAAATGTATCAATCTTCTTGGGGTATTATTCACAGAATCATGGAATTGTACAGCACAAAAAGAAGCCATTCGGCCCATCGAGTCTGTGCGACTGTTTGAACAGAGCAATGTAATGTCAGTCCCACTCTCGGCCCTTTCCCCATAACCCGCAAACCCGTCTCCTCAAATACCCATCACCGCGTTGTTAAAAGTAGTTATGGAATCGGCCTCCACCGCCCTTTCAGGCGATGTTCCAGATTCCCACAACGCGCTGCGTGAAGCACTGTCTTCTCCCCTCCCCTCGGCTTCCTTCAGAGACTATTCTCAATCTGTGACCTCGAGTCACCGACACTCCCACCAGTGGGAACAGTTTGTCCCTCTCTAACCCATCAAATCCCCCCATGATGTTGAAGACCTCTATTAGGTCCTCGTAACCTTCTCTGCTCC